TCTTACCTGTAGCTGAGTCCAGGCTCTGTGATAACTACATTTCTCCATGCAGCTGTTTCCCCCAAATATTCAGCATCTGTGGTTTGGCAATAAATGCTATACCATGATATTGGTTGTGATATATCTTAAATGATATATCACAAATGTGAGTTTTAGTTATTTCCCTACTATAAACAGTATAAAACTATTCCTTGATCCCAGAAACAATCTATAAGAGACTGTAGGAATATTGTTTTCAGCTATAGAGTTACAGTCAAAGGAAAAAGTAGGTATGACTTAATATTATAATCAGGAAGTACATGGTGAAGTCAAGAATCCCAAGAAGTTATGACCTAGATCTGGCTCTGTGAGTAAATAGATAGATTTTAGGGAGCTTGTTCTACACTAATCTAGTCATCAGACACATTAAACAAAGGAACCAAGTCCAATAGAAATGAAGAGAGTCTACTCCACAGAGTTGTTGTGGGGTTAGTTGAGTATAATGAATGAAGAATGTGTAGAACAAGGTCTGGTACACTGAAATCAGAAAGATTATCTCCTCTTCAGATTGTTGTGAAAGTGACCAAGAGAGCATCCAGTCATAGGGTTAGGACAATTCCTGCAGCCACTGTCAGCAAGGATGATAGTTTCTGAATCTTCAGAAGAAGCCTGCCTTTGTCAGGGGTCCTCACCTCCATCAGTGGGAGGCAGGTGTTGAACAGTGCTGGCTCTGGCAAGATACCCAGAGGATACAGTGCATCTCTCTCCAAAACACCCATAACTTCACTACCATTCAATCCTTTGTATGTACCAGAAATCATGTCATAGTGCCCTTTATAACTGCACACACTCCCTTATCTGTCTCATTCTTTAGTCTCTAATTCTGTAAGAATCTAGACATCGTCTTTTTGTTTTTATTTTCCTCACTTGAGAATCATAAAGAAAAACCCCTTCCATTTTTGGTTTTTATTTTCTTTAGCTATATCCTGAAAATATTACATCTTTAAAGTTTTTTGAAATTAGTGATTGTTTCTTTTCTGAACCCCTTATATTATGGGGACTGGCCATTTTTTCCCTGACATTTTTTTTTCTCTTTTAGGAAAACATTCAGTTCCAATCTCAGTGTCTCAGACTTTTTATTCTCTCTCTCTCTCTCTCTCTCTCTCTCTCTCTCATCTCTCTCTCTCTCTCTCTCTCTCTCTCTCTCTCTCTCTTCTCTCTCTCTTCTTTCCTCCCTCCCTCCCTCCCTCCCTCCCTCCCTCCCAATCTTAGGGTTTCTATTGCTATGAAAAGACAAAATGACCACAGCAACTCTTATAAAGTAAAGGTATTCAATTGGTGTGGCTTTCATTTTCAGAGGTTTAGTCCATTATCATCATGGTGTGACATGGTGGCGTGCAGGTAGACATGGTGCTGGAGAAGCAGCCAAGTGTCCTACATCTTGACTTGCAGGCAACAGGAAGTGGTCTGTCTCACTAGGAGTATCTTGAGCATAGGAGTCCTTAAAGTTTACCTCCACAGTGACACACTTCATCTAACAAGGCCACACCCACTCTAACAAAGCCACACCTCCTAATAGTGCCACTCCCTTTGGGGACCATTTTCTTTCAAACCACCTCTCTCTCTCTCTCTCTCTGTGTGTGTGTGTGTGTGTGTGTGTGTGTGTGTATGTGTGTGTGTGTGTGTGTGTGTGTGTGTGTGTGTGAGAGTGTGTGAGAGAGAGAGAGAGAGAGAGAGAGAGAGAGAGAGAGAGATTACTGATGTCCATGTGACAGTACCAATGGAATTCTAGAGACACTCAGAATTCATTTAAATAACTGCATATCCTCCATTGTGATAACTTGACTTTCTCTTTTCTACTCTTCGTTGGCCATGCATTTCTGTGTCCTTGCCTTGATCTTATCATTTTTCCCTACTACAAACCCTATGAGATTCAGACATTCTATCTTGCAATTACTACTTTCTTTCTTGGACCTATTATTAGTCCTCCTCTCATTTGGCTTATTATACCTTTTGACATAATTGAACACATTTTTAAAAAATGTGTTGGCTCCATAACTCTTACTTTGATTTTTTTCTGCTTATAAATGTCTGCTCTTCTTTGTGAACTGCTATCCATATCCCTGGCTTGCTCCACTACTGTTTTTACATGTGTTGGGGAGTCAGGGATGATGGGGGAGGGATTGTGCTCAGCTTTCAAAACTTTTAGTTTATTTTTGTCCTGCCTCATTTTGTGTCATGGATTTAAATATCATTTGTGTGATGTAGAAACTTAGCCAATCTATTTAATTTTGCTGAGCTTCAAACTTTCCTTCAAAATAAAGGCAGAGTATATGAGCAGGACTTTGTAGAGACCCAACATAATAAAATACTTGGAGCAGGAAAGCTATTATTCAAGGGTAGTTTGGACTTATAAATCAATTGTAGGATTTAATGAGCAGCTAACATTTTTATCTGTACTCAGACTTGGTGACTAAGTAGTATGACAGTGGTTTTATTTGAAGTGAAATTTAAATTAATTAGAATATTTTGGGTGTTATCAGAAACCAAATATTCTAGGAGAATGTGTTTTATTTCAATGTAGACTTTAGCCAATGCTTTATTACTCTTTAAGAGAATACCTAGGCATCACTGTCTCATCTTTATACCATAAGTGTAGGAATGAAAGAGCTTAGTTCATAGTAGGCACCCCATAAGTGTTAATTTCTTTGTGGCTGCTTTCAGAGATTATTTCCCATCAACATTGAATTTTAATAGATTTTGTATTATTTAGAGGATGTGTCTAGATTATTCCTGCCTTAGTCAACATTCTATTACTGTGAAGATACACCATGACCACAGCAACTCTTATAAAAGAAAACATTTAATTGGTGCCGGCTTACAGTTTCAGAGGTTTAGTCCATTATTATCATGATGGGAGGGAAGTATGGTGGCACACAGGCAGACTTGGTGCTGAAGAGGTAGCTGAGAATTCTACATCTGGATCTACAGGTAGCAGGGAGAGAGAGAGAGAGAGAGAGAGAGAGAGAGAGAGAGAGAGAGAGAGAGAGAGCAACTGGACCTGGCTTGGGCTTCTGAAACCCCAAAGCCCACCCTCAGCGACATACTTCCTCCAACAAGGCCATACCTATGCCAAAATGCCACGCCCACTCTGTCAAAGCCACACCTCTATTCTCTCTCAAGTAACACCACTCCCTAATGACCAAGCATTCATTCATATTGGAGCCTATGGGAGCCATTCCTATTCCAACCACTACACTTCCTGTCAGGCCACTATAAAAAAAATATGGTGTTTCATTCCTTAGTTAAATTGTGGAATACTGGAGTCATACTGCAATAGGATTTTAGAAGATGGATTCTCTCTGACATCTGTTTGTATTTTCTATATTATAATGTAGTATAAGAGATTTTTGTCAAGATTGTTTATAAGGAGACAGTTATCAGTTACTAATTACCTCTTCCTTCCTTTATCCCCATTCTTCCTTCCTTCCTTCCTTCCTTCCTTCCTCTCTCTCTCTCTCTCTCTCTCTCTCTCTCTCTCTCTCTCTCTCTGTCTCTGTCTCTCTCTTTTTGGTTTTTATTTTATATATGGTCTTCCTTTATAGGCTAGCTGCCCTTAAATTCACTATGTATGCCAGGTTGGACTTGAATTTGTGATCCATCTGCTTCAGTTTCCTAAGTGTTACGATTACAGGTTTATGCTCAGCCATCAAATAACCTCTTGAACATCAGAAGTTTTATTGTCTTTTCCCCATTGGCTAAGGTGAGTCATCAGATACTCAAAATAGAAAAAAAAAAAGACCCTTCCTATCAGCAGATGTTATTTTAAATATAACTGCTCATTATCAGGCAGAGTTACACTAAGTCAACTGAAAATTTCCTCCTTAAAACAGATTCATTTGTTTCTAAAAATGTCATGGTTCTCTCAGTCTCTCAAGTAGGTAGCTTTTTCTTAAAAAGAAGTTTCTTTAATTAATTTATTCTGAATTTATGTGTTAATTCCCTTTGGTGACTTCTATAAATGCTGTTCCTTTAGAGGACCCTAATATACTATCATATAAACTTTCTCTAATGACATAAGCCTTTAATAGTTAATTTAACCTTTGAGACATTATTTGATGGGAGGCCTCAGTCAGTTATACATAGGTTTTCTAATTGAAAAATAAAAAATAATCATTGATTACATTAAATTGAATAAAATATAGTATGGAAATATGAAATAAGAAAGTTAAAGTTGATGAACTTGAGAATTCTTTAGCAACTACACACACACACACACACACACACACACACACACACACACACACACACTAATTACTATGTGGTCCTGGATGACATTCCTAGGTTTAAAAAAAATGTTTGCTTTGACAGTAAGTATACCTTCTCTTCCTTGACTGAGCAATGCTATATACAAATGAAGTATATAGGACTTTGTTTCTTAAATGTTAAAGAATAATGTGAACTATATAGGTAGATAGCTTACTAAAAACAACTTTTATTATAGAAAAGGAAGTTTTGAAAGTCTACATTCCTTTCTCATTTGATTACTAAATGCTTTAAATAATGCAATTATTTTCAGTTTATATCTGTCTCACAGAAAAGGTATTATCATATAAATAAGTACTTAAGTTTTAATAGGAACTACTTGTTCAACTCAGTGATTTCTGAAAAGCACTGCAAAATTGTGTACATCTCCAACTTAAAACCATGATAGACAGCAAGCTAAAATAGGCAGAATTTGTTTGTAGATTGGGGGCTAGTTGGCCTTCTTGGTTTTGTAATTAGAAACATGTCTTGCTAGAAACATGTTGATGATTTTATTTAATTTTTAATTAAAAATTACTTTTGTTTATTACACATGGACATGCAGGTGCCATGGTGTGTGTGTGTAGAGGTCAAAGTAAAAATTTCAGTAAGTTCTGTCCTTTCACTATGTGGATCCCAGAGATTGAACTCAGGTTTCCAGGCCTGGCAACAATAACTTTACCCATGGAGCCATTTTTTGCTGATCTGGAATATGTTCATGATCTTTTGAATAGTCCATGGAAGGTAACAGGGATATTAGTCTCCACTTCAGCCCTGGCAACTTCACTCAAGTCTTTGGCATTCAGAATCAGGAGGTATGCAGGCTTTTGTCCAGCTCCGGGGCTCACCACCACGCTCAGAACCACACCTGTTAATTAAGGCAGTTTTGAAATTTGAAATCAGGTCTTAAGATTATTTGGCATTGAGAGTATATAGATAGTAAGGTGGTATTACTTTAACAAATATAGAAAACCATGTGACTTAGCTTGTTCTGGCTTTTCAATTACCTGTCTGTATGACCACTTAAAGGAGTACTGTAAACTCTTTCTTTCTGGCTAACACCACCCCAGGAAGGGGCTGACCTTGTCTTAGTCTCTTACAGCTGCAACCACAGTATCTTAGTACAATGACCAAAGTACGAACTCATCAATGTTGACTAAATTAGTGGACCTGTGTTCTTATCTGTAGTATAAGACTATAGTCTTCGTTCTGTTTACTAGAAAAAAGTTATGATAAAGTAAAAATGTATACTTTAAAACTTTTAAAGCAGAAGAGTCTGTTATAATTTTCAGGACCTATATGTAAGTTTACTTCTTTCAGACAAAATGAAAACATACCTTTTACACTTTTGAATTGTGGGAGGCCAGCTGGGAGACTGGCTCCCATATTTTACCCCAGGGTACTCTTGAAGAGAGAGGGATAAGAGATTCAGATAGAAGGATAGAGGGGAGAGAAACACAAACACAGGATAGCCTTGGGAGAGACTGGATCCCTATCCACCAGCCCCTTCTGTCTCTTCTAAAGGGCTATTTATAGGAATGCCAAGGGGTGGAGCAAAAGACCTCCCCCCAGCACAGCCAAGTGCAGACCCTTTCCACGCACATGGTCAAGTAATTCTCTAATGCAGTGCTGCTAGGTAAAGCAAGCTCAGATCTCACTAGGGAACCTTTGTGGGCCTCCACGTTGAATGAGTGGTATGAATGTAAAAACTATATGTCAGAAAATGGCCCCATAATTATTTATTTCATTCTTCTACAGTTTCTCATATTTTAATAAATTAATCATTCAGACTATAATATTTCCCTGTCCTTCCTTGTATTGATTTTTAAAAGTCATTTTGTTATTTTTATGTGTATGAGTGTTTTGCCTGCATGAATGTCTGGACCTGTATGTCTGGTACTCATAGAGGCCAGTAGAGGGTGCTGGATCACCTGAGTTATAGCTGGTTGCGAGCTATAATGTAGGCACTGGGAATTGAACCCAGTCTTCAACAAGAGCAGTGCTCTTAAACACTGATCCAGCTTTCCACACTCCCTATCATTAATGCTTAATTGAGACTGATGCTATGCAATGCAGTTTTTCAATTATATGCTGAGGCTCTGAATTCTTTGTTAGCCCCGACTTATTAAAACAAAGAAACAAACAAACACTAGAATTCCAGAGCTGCACATTCATTGATGTGCTAGAATATTCTATTTCTCTTATTAGAACTCTATCTGCTTTTTTAGAAATATATTTTGGTCAGGAAAAGCAAACACCTAGAATTCTTGCAGTCACACCCTTTTCTCATCCCTTCCGTTCAGAGCTCCACTATGACACAGAAGGTGTTTTGCTGTGGTTGTTGTTGTTTGTTTGTTTGTTTGTTTTTAATATTAGCAATCAGCAAGACCTGACCACAGATGAAAGTTACTTTCAAAGGAATTCAATTCTTGAGTGCTGTACCATTCACAGTTTAAGAATCACTTTTGAAAATTAGCAAATAATCAGCCTAACCCCTTTCCTAATAACAAACACACGAGTTTCAGCACAAAGAGAAGTTCAGACACATGAATTGATTTCATTACCATCATCCTCTTCCAGGGCTTCTGGATGAGAAACAAAGATGGGTTCAGATGGGTAAGAATCTGGCTCTTGCCACATCCAGATTTCTTTAGTTTTGACATTCAGCTTACAGAGCTGCTTGTGCCCAAGAAAAAGCAATTGGTTAATTAATGAGCTGCTTTACTTGACTAGCACATGACTCAAAGTTATATTGGGTGTTAGTAAGGTGTTTCATTACCTTGTCTGGGACAAAGTGATTCAACCCAAGTCCATACGCATAGGTATAAGGTTTTCCTCCATATTTCTGATAGTTGATTTGAGGAAATTCAAAGGCTTCAAAACGGAACACAGACATAGGAAAACTCAGTCTCTTTAAGTGGAACATCTGTTCCCTTCTCAGTGATGTTTTCTCTATATTATCTTACCTTGACGGGGCCCTGAAAAGAGAACCTCAGGTTCCAGCCAGATGGTCTCATCACTGCACAGAATTGCTGTGGCAGTTGTGTGGGCAAGTGTGACTAAATTCCTGCCTGTGTCAGCCTTAGGAAGAAGATAACAGAGACTTCAGTGAGCAGGGAAGAAAATCCAAGCATCTGTAAATGCAGACTTCTTAAATTTTGCCTCCTCTTTCAGAGGTCATCATGTGGGGAGTAATAACAAAACAAAAAGCAGTCTAGGAGCCTGGCTACTGTAACAGATTTGAAAATCTCTCAGGTGCCATATTGGTAGGTTATAAGTAACCCACTGGAAACATGTTGTTTAGGGTTAAATGTCTGCCTCTACTTGAACGTGATAGCCATATTGATTAGCTTAAAGTCCTGGATAATGGTCTTAGATTCAGAAAAGGTGGCATGTGACACTGTCCTTTCCTAAAACTCCATTCTTCTATGTAGCCAATCAATCAGGCAAATCTGTTTCTTAACAATTTACTTACTTGTGTGTGGAGGGCCAGTTCCCACATTTATTTACCCCATGGACTCTTGAGGAGTGAGGTATAAGAGATAGAAATATAGAGGAGAGGGACAGACCGAAACACAGGATAGCCTCGGGAGGGCCTGGTTCAAAACCCACCAACCCCTTCTGTCTCTTCTAAAGGGCTTTTAAAGGAATGCCAAGGGGTGGAGCAAAAGACCTCCTCCCAGCAGAGCCAAGTGCAGACCATCTCAAACACCTGGTAACTATGCATGTGGTCAAGCCATCCCCAAATGCAGCCCTGCTGCATAAAGCAAGCTAAGAACTCACTAGAAAAACCTTGTGGGCTCCCACACTGTGTGCCAGGTACCATGCTAGGTGCTAGGAGGGCAAAGGATATTTAGGGATTCTCCAAATGTCTATAAATTCTCTATTACAAATACAATTAGCATGACTGAAAATATCTTGGTCATTTGATTACTTCATGAGCACTTATTGAGCATCTCCTGTAGAACATGGATTATATTAGGTGTTGGGGAGACAGCTATAAGAAGGGCTGAAATGGCCACGTGGCATGTGAATGTAGAATTTGAGAAAACACATGAAAGCATTACAATCCAGGACTTTTGTAATGCTCTAGGACAAAGGAGAACATAGGTAGCACTTGCTTGTGGGTAGGAAGGACAGGGTATTACAGTGAGCTCAGAACATAAGGCAGTTAGTGTGTCCTATCAAGTGGGTGGAGGAAACTTTCTGTCTGTTTTAAGGAGTCAAAAAGACAAGGCCTAAGAACAACCTGAAGTTGAAATTTGACTTCAGATTAAAACAAGAACATGATTTTAAAACTCAGGAAGAAACAAGGACTGTCCAGGGAGTAAGGGTGATATAGACCTAGTTAGCATGCTAGGGAATTGTGAATAAGCAGGTATGTGCTGTGGGATGGTCTGTATGTCAAGTGTGTTGCTGATTGGTCAATAAATAAATCACTGATTGGCCAGTGGCCAGGCAGGAAGTATAGGCAGGACAAGGAGGAGAATAAAGCTGGGAAGTGGAAGGCTGAGTCAGAGAGACACTGCCAGCCGCCACGATGAGAAACAGCATGTGAAGATGCCAGTAAGCCACGAGCCACATGGCAAGGTATAGATTAATGGAAATGGATTAATTTAAGCTGTAAGAAAAGTTAGCAAGAAGCCTGCCACAGCCATACAGTTTGTAACCAATATAAGTCTCTGTGTTTACTTGGTCAGGTCTGAGCGGCTGTGGGACTGACAGGTGAGAGAGATTTGTCCTGACTGTGGGCCAGGCAGGAAAACTCTAGCTACAATTGTACCTGTGACAGTGAGAAACAGAAGTTTTGAAACCCTGGTAAGACTGGAAACTAAACCAGAGAAAGCCAGACTGTGGGGCTGGAGTCACAGTCTGGAAGCATTGAGATGGCTTCCTGCTTCTACCCATTCAAAGTTTCTGAAGACTCGGAAGTTTAGGAAAGGTGACACGACTCCATGCAGAAGAAGAGTGAAGAAGAGAGCAATTGAGGAAACGTCAGCTCAGAAATGGCTGAAAAGATACTACACATACAATGGTAAAGCCAAACTGAGTGAAAAGGAAAATGGGACTGAGAACATGAAGGAAAGGCAATAGGAAAGTGATGACACCATACATAGAACTATCATAATCACATCCAACATACACTGTCAAAGGGGCTAGAAAAGCAGCCAAATAGTCTCTCACATCTCCTTTTACCACTGATCTGAATATAGAACACTGATACATCACCCTGACAATGTTAATGAACAGTATCAGCAGTTTTTATTTAGATGCCAGACACTGTGCAATGCATTTGGCATGGACCATATACATTTAGTCCTCATAGCAGGTAAGTCCTATCTTTCCCCCATTTTACATATGAGGAAATTGAGCCTCAGGTGAAGCCCTATGGCAAGAGCACAGAGCTAGGGTGTGCCTCCATCCCAGTTTTAAACCACCTGCTTGGCCAGAAGCTGACTTAGGATCCCAGACCCATGGAGAAGTCACATAGGATCTTAGGGACTCAATTTGTTCATCAGTGAGATGAAGCTGTCCTCAGAGAAAATTAAGGGTTTTGAGGAAGGACTGCTGTGAAAAAGTAGATTAAAAAAATATAGTTTCCGAAGAACAACCAAGATGTCAACTTCTCGAGGATAAAGACAATTATTATCTTCTAGCTAGGATACATGAAAATGACATGTAGTTATGTTGTCAAATAGAAAAACTACTAGGCTTGATTTTTAAAAAGACATTTATCTCTTCACATGTGCATATAATGATATTCAAACATATGTACACAGCTCTTTAAATGATTGCATGAAAACAGTGGGAAACACTCTTGGGTGTATTTTATACTCTCTTCTAGGTATTGAGGGGAATTTCCCAGGAGCAGTGAAGCTTGTGTTCTATTTGGAGATTAACAAATACACTTAATAAGGTATACAGTGTAGCATGAGTTCAGGAACAAAAAATAGAAGAGGGATCCAATGTGTGAGGGAATTTGTGGGTTGAAATTTTAACACGTGATCTGAGTAGGCCTCTTTGTAAAAGTGGCATTTGATACAAAACTCTTAGACGAGGAAACCTGCAATGCATTCAGGCAGGAAGAAAAAGAAACAAAACAAAACAAAATAAATCTTCCAAAGAAAACAAAAACTGCCCAAATCTTGGAGAAGAATGATGCTGAGTATGTTCCAGAAGCACCAGAGATCAGCCTGGTGGTAATTAAGAGAGCTTTGTGGGGAACTAGCGGGTTTAGATTGTGTAAGGCACATGGGTTATAGTGAGGACCTGGGCTTTCACTGTGGATAAATGAGGGGAAGCTACAGAGGGTTTTGAGTAGACAAGGAACACACTGTGATTTATTCTTAAAGAAATCCCTCTGGTTACTATGCTGACTGTAGAGTCGGGTACTTGTTTTGTAAATGTGGGTAATAGTGAAAGATTGGACTCAGCAAAACCAGTTTGTTTTATAGTAGTCCAATCTAGAGAAAATGATTCTAGCTAGACTGGTAACACTGGAGTCAGTGAGACAGGGTATATGGAGTTAACAGTTTCCTGGTGAATGGTGTTTAAAAGTGAGAGAGGCATTGAGCTCAGCACCTTGGTATCTAATCTGAACAATTAAAGGTTGGTATTGTCTCAGAATGTGTGAAATTGTTATAGGTTGGTGCACTTTTTGGTGGGGGCAGATAAGAAATTCAGGTTTTGTTGCTGAATATTAAATGGAAAAGTAGAGGTGGTAGTTATCTTGAATCTTGAGATTCAGAAACAGGGAGAGATGTTATGCAGCCTACTTTAAAATTAAAATAATATGTCAAAGCAGTGAGGACACAAAAAGATAGTATGGGAGCCAGAGACTGAATTATAGGGCCTTCCAGCAAAAGGAAGGTATAGTGGTAGCTTTTTGAGGTAAAATGTGTTGAGAGGACTTGGTGAGGATATTATGTGTATTAATTATGGTTCATTAAGAATAGCAGTGAAGGATAATCTGGAGTGATGTATCTACTGCAAGGAAAGAAAGATTATTTCTGGTTAGGAAGATATTCAGGATATAGGTATGGTGCTGGTGGGTAGTATATGAGGCAGCAGGAATCTGTGATTCTTTTCTGGTTAATTTGTTTCATATAAAGAAAAAGCACCATCAATATTCCACATGAAAGTGGGGTGCGAGGTACAAAAGTGAGGAGAGGAGGTGGAATATTTAACTAGAAAAGTAAAACGATATGTGAAGTTCGGAAACGAAGCAGCAAGATTTGTGGTCAGACATTTAAAGTTGAACCAATTAACATGATTGTGTATTTGCAGCACTTAAATTTAGACTCAGAGGTACAAATACAGAGAGGATAGATAATCTAATTGAACTACAGTATGATTTTTGATAAAGAGGTTAAATAAATGATAATCTACAAGGATGTTCATAATCATTGACCATGAAAGATAAATCGAGTGAAAAGGGAAAGTGAAATTTTCAGGGTAATAAAGGATAGTAAGTGATATGTTCAATGGAAGGAAATTTATAGTAGAAGTGATAGGTAGCAAGGCAGGTAATATTAAAATATAAAAGGTACAGCTAGAGCATTGTCATTGCAGAAGAGCATTCATATTCTAAAAGGGATTATAGCTTCAGACTGTCTACTACCCAATCTGTTCTCCATGCCATTGCCAGAGGGACCCATGTCATATACACATCTCACACCCTTGAACTCCCTAAGTGAGCCCTTACCAATTATATGTTACCCAGAGTCTGATAAAGCCCCTGTACAGTCTCACTCCAATCCATCTTTCCAGCTTGTAACTGGAAGCTTTTCTCCCTGCCCGCTGGTACCCAAATAACCAGTCAGAAGCTTAATATTAATTCCAAACTGTTTGATTTATGGCTCAGGCTTACTGCTAACTAGCTCTTTTATCTTAAATTAATTCATTTCTATTAATCTCTGTATTGCCACTTGTCTCGTGGCTTTACCTGTGTTCCATTACATCTTGTCCACCTACCCTCAGTACTTAGCATCTCCCCTGACTACGCCTTCCTTCCTTCCTGTATCTTTCCTTGGATTTCCTACCTGGTTATAACCTGTCTTGCCATAGGCCAGAGCAGCTTC